CGGATCAGTACTGGCGGGGGGGGAGAGAAGGCAAGGGGGGGGCTGCTTATAGCAGTGTTAGAATCTTTTGAGGGAAGGAGATAGCTTTATCTTAAATGTATCTGACCACATTTATGGCCGGGCCCGTATGGATCTGGCCGCAATTACGTCCATAAATAAGTAAAATAGTCCTAAGGTGAGTAGGCCTTTAGAAAGGCAATAAAAGAACGTTCTCTTTCAATTTGTTGTTTCTCTCCTGAAGTTTGGACCATGTCTTGTTTTGTGTGTGTCATCCTTGCCTTCAGGCCCTTCAGGGGAGTGCTATCTGAAAGAAAAACAAGAAAAAGAGGGAAAATTGCATCTGTACCCCGCTTTAAGATGGGAAGACCCGCATTACCCAGTCCCGGGGGCGCGAACTTGCATCTATACCCGGAGCCCGTTCCACTTTGCATAGTACCCAGGTTTTCCCCGGTGCAAAATTGCAGGTGTATCCAGCCCCCAAGGCCCTCGGTTGGACCACGAAATTACGCCCATGCCCACCAAGTGGACCTTTATGACTCAATGGCTGCTGGGTATGAGCATAATTTCAGCCATCCGGTAGCAGGGTATATGAATAATTTGGCGATGTCCACGTCAGGGCCCGGGTATCTGCATAATTTTGCCTGGGTATGTCCATAATTTGTGCATTCCCCGGTAGTCGGTTAAAACTTAAAACCGCAACATTACAGTGCCATTCTGGGTCCACCTCTATCCTGGGCATGCAAACAATTTCCACCAGCGGTTTCCCGGGTATAGATGCAAGTTTGCACTCGGACTGGGTGTAGCCGGTATTCCTATCTTTAAGAACGGTAAAGATGCAATTTCCCACCCCCCCCAAAAACCTACCTGCATTGTTAGTTCCAGATAGAATCCCATCTGAACAGGTGCTGATGCACAGCATATGTGGCGAAACGATAGTACACATACCCAACTGTTACTTACCCAACTGTTACTTAACCCATGATGAATTCGAAGTTCGAACCCTTCAATTTCTCTGAGTCCGCGGACATGCTCACACTAGATTGTTTCCCACTGCAGGCATAGTACTCACATCATGAGTCATATGAGCACTCTTTTACTTATTTCTGGACTGAATTGAGGCCACATGCATACAGGTGTGGTCGTAATTGGGGTCTAATGCATTTTCGGAAATGCTACTTTGAGTATGCCCCGAGCAGGCTGAGCTGAGTGAGCTCCGGATGTGCTTGCACTTGCAGTCTGCTGCATGCCGCCGTGGCAGCCATTGCAGTCAAATTGATCTCGGAGAAGTGCTAGTGTGGAGCCCTGAGTATGCCCTGAGCTCTGTAAGTGGTTAATGTCTGCTGCATGCAGCTGTGGCAGTCATTGCAGTCAAATTCATTTATGAGAAGTGCTAGTGTGAACACTGTGAAGGTCCACTGACACTCAAGGGGCTTTTTTGGCAAAACTGCAAAATTTGCTGTTGGTTTTGCAAATTGCAAGTCACACTGTACCTGCCTGCCCATCAAGTGCTCAATAGGCGTGGCCCGCAGCGCGGCCGGGTTCGACAATGTGCAAGCACCTCCTGAGGTGCTCTTAAACCACGAGTTCTTCCTAAAGCCTAAAGCCGTGCCCGTGCACAATTTTAGGAAACGTACGGGCCACTACAGGAGCGCCCAAATTCATCCGACTAGAAATGTTTCTTAGCTGGGGCAAGTAGGGGTGGTTTAGTTTTTTTTGCCCACACACCCTTGAGTTCCGAGAAGAGAATTGTGGACACCAGTTTTGCTGTGTGACAGCACGATTGGGCAATTTTGCAACTGGCAGAGTGTAGAGGCATCGTCTTTTCCTAACGGCAACCCCATGTGCGACTGTGCAAGGGGGTAGGTCCTATCCGGGGGTGGTAAACACAGCAAATTGTGTTATCTTGCTACACAATGTCATGTTAGTGTTTGCCCTGAGGCATTGTCTTTCCCGATCTGTGACCCCATGTGCAACTCCGGGGGTAGTAAATGCACCAAATTGTGCTAGAGCTAGACAATGTCATGTTAGTGTATGCCCTGAGTATGGGCCTCACGGTCCCCACCCCACCACTCCTGAATTGGAGAAAATTTTCCGAGGTGCTCTCAAGTCTTGCAACGCGTAGAATACGGTTCCAGAGTGCCCTCCCCCCCCGGGGCTCTCAAACGGGCCCCTCTTGAGATCCGAAATTGACAGAGGCCTCTTTCGAACAAGCCCAGTCTTTTTTTTTTTTTTTTTTTTTTTTTTTTTTATAGAAAAGAGCCCTGGTTGTTGTAGAGACCGGACTCCGGACACACAGGGTTGCCGACACAGCTATTGGCTGTCCTGACATTCTCTTATTCACCGTAAGACCACCTCCTTACCCATCCTCTCGGCAATTCTCCTAGCGCACCCCTATCCCTACCATCCTACCTCAGTATTACTACTCAGGACTATCACCATGGTATTTCAGAGGGCGACTTGGACCAGACAGTAGTTCTAGGCACCGGGGCTAGGCTGGACCAAGCGCGAAGCCTTGAGACCCTCCCAGCCCCAGTTGAGGCACAGTCAAGCAAGCCACGTTACTTGGGTACATCAGGCGCCAGGCTCTAGTATTGTGTTTGCTTCTCCTACCAACCCCCATTCTGGCATGTGTATACTATATATGTGTCGTATTCTGGCATGTTTCTCCTTTCTACAGATGTCAGATACTGAGGCTGGACAGGGCCAAGCGCGAAGCCTTGAGCCCCAGCCAGCCCCAGTCATGTGTGTACGTGCTATCTGTGTGTTATCCATGGTTCTCGATACCGAGGCCAGGCAAGGACAAGCGTGAAGCCTTGAAAACCCCAGCCTACCCCCAGTCATGTATGTGTATATGCCATGGTTCTAGATACTGAGGCTGGACAGGGACAAGCGCGAAGCCTTGATCCCAGCGAACCCCAGCAGTAGTGCGGACCCCACCAAGCCCCAATTGAGTTCTGTATATATATGTGTAGGGTTGTATTGTCATATGAATGGTGGTCTGGTCTGTGCAAGAAACCGCCCCAAAGTCTCTAGCCAGACTCGAACCCACACCCTGTGTTGTGTAACTACAATGCCCTATCTTATGTGCTGTGTTCTGAATTGATGCCAATGTATGGAATGCCAGAACAGGGGAGAATTTCAGAACAATCAATAGCTACGTCAAGCAACCCACACATAGTCAAGACCCAGCATACAACAACCAGGACTACCCCTTGGGTGGTGCGCAGGCAGTGTCTGTAAATAGTACCATGCGTCAGCCCAAGGGGATGTATGTCCAGCTAGGCGTCACTCTAACGCCCTGCCGGTGTCCATGCACAAGGCTGCGGAGTTTTGAACCCGCAACCTTATACCACAGTGCGCATTTCCAACCGGTGCTCTAAAGCCCAGTCTGACATAAAACTCTTGTCTTTCACAGTCCACCAGGGAATTTCAAGACCTACATTGCCCGGCCAACGTCTCTCAAAAACGGCAATTTGCTGAGACGGGCACCGAAAAGAAGCTCCAGAGTCCTCTCGGGCCCGCTTATCTTAGGCTTGGGCCCCATTACACAGCGGCTGGAAACTTTTGATCATGGAAGGTGACTTCGGGACCATATAATGCCGCCACGCTTAATTTTTTTCAACCGCCGACCTCGTTTTCAGACCCCACTGACTGGAAAAACTGGCACGGAAACCAGGCGAAAAGGTAAAAAGTGTTTCTACTCGGCTGTTGCCTGAACAAGGGATAACTGGTAGAAAGAGCCCACGCCAAAACCTTTTCGGTTTTGGCCGGCCAAAACTCGGCCAGTACCAAACCTTCTTCAGCCTGGGTGAAAGGCGCCTTGGCTGTGGCCACATCACCCTGGGCCTGTTTTTACCGGTTCAAGAATTTGGCGCTGTTTTTGTGCCAGATTCATGAACCGGTAGGGCCCTTCTTTTTCAAAATAGCATACGTGGGCCTCGTTCTACACTTCAGACGTACCACCCTCGGCCTCTTTCACATCAGAATGAATCTGGCGCTGTTATGAGCCGGATTCATGATCCGGTAGGGCCCTTGGAGCTACGCATGGGCCTGTAGTACCCCACATGGAAGTCATTGGGCCTGTAGTACCAAACTACCCCACATGGAAGTCATTGGGCCGGTAGTACCAAACGGCCGAGTTTCGGGCGCCCAAAACCAAAAAGGTTTTGGCGTGGGCGCTTTCTACCAATTATCCCCATGAACAACCCATCTCCAGGTGCTGCCAAAGCTAATCCGAAGGCCGAAGGAAATTGGACAGGGGCTGTGGAAGCCAGCTGCTGGCGTCGGAGCGCCAGACAGTGGGCCTCTTAGCCACACCCTTCGTTGTCCTGGTTTCTGTGGATTTCCACGGCCCACCACATTCCTTTCCTTTTTGGAGTGGGCATGGCCGACTCTTCCTACTCGGGAAAGGACGGCCTTTCCCAGTGCCAATAATTGCGCTGGTGGTGGGGTCCGCTCGGACATCCAGTTCTCTTTTCCAGAACAGGACTCTTGTGGTCTTTCTCGTTCTTCCAGCATGTTCCTGGCGCTCAAATGTTTCCAGCGGCTGTGCAGAGGGGTCCAACCCTTACAGTTCCCAAAGTTCAGCTGGCTTTCGGGAGCTGAATCCGAGAGCATATGTGGCTATGCTTGTACTACCAAAAACACTCATTTCTGGAGAGATGTGGGGAGGGCCACACAGGATGCTCTGGCCGGAGTGCCCTGATCATACCATGGGGTTTTCCAATTTGCCCTCCATGTGGGAGGGAGGCAGGCCCATTTCCCGGTTTGAGGAGTAAAGAAATTACGTTGAAAAGGGGGGGGGGGGGGAGGGGGGGGGGGGAGGGGGGAGGACGCTCTTCCGGAAAAAAAAAAAAGAAAAAAAAAAAAGGAGGACTCTCTACGAATAGAAAGGACGAACTGTTTTCGGGAAAAAAAACAAAAGGACGCTCTGAAAGTCAAATAAACTTTAGAGAATTATAGAGAAGAATGCGTGATTCAGTTTGAGTGGGGGAGAGGGGAGCGCGGTGGACTAAGATCAAGTGTAGTATCTGTTCTGATCAGTTTGAAAAAGGAAGGCGAAAAAAAGAAGGTTCAAGTGCGAAATTGATGAGTGATTCCATAAAAGCGCAAAATAAAACCTTGTGAGTCTATTTTTTAATTCTCTTTTTCTTGTTTCGAGTGAAGGGCAGTCTACCCAAGGGTTCTTGTTCGAAGTAGGAAAACCTCGGGGTTCTCAGAAAGCAGCGTTAACGTGGAACCTACGACTTCCCCGCTGTGACAGAAACCACAGCGGGCACCCTCAGAATGGGCCCGAGTGCGTAAACGTGGAACGACAGGTATGGCGGAGAAGCAAAGATCGAGAGACGGAGTCATAGACACATAGTGCCTCGCCGGGGATAGCTGCACACGTACACTCACAC